GTTGGACTAAAAGACCTCCAAGGTCCCTTCCAGCTCTATTCTATTCTATTCTATTCTATTCTATTCTATTCTATTCTATTCTATTCTATTCTATTCTAATGATGCTAACATAGGAACCAGACCCTAAAACAAATTCACTTACACCAATGTAAATGGTGTAACCTCAACATTTTCACACAAAAGTAGAAGTATCTTCCTATGTTCTTCCTCTAATGTTATATATGCCATCATCTGCCAACAATTTTCTCTGGATTTTATGTAGGGCAAACAGATCAGAACTTATGAAAATGCTTAAGAGATATATAAGTTTGATATAGGATCAAAATAAGAACAAAGTAATACCAGAGTATAAACTTCCCATGAAGCTCCAATATATGCTTTGGAACAAAGAAACTCATCTTTTGGTTTTAGGCTACTTTATATAATCTCAACACAAAATGGGTTTTTAACATATCATACTATACTTGTTAATTTATAAGGTAATTGCAATCTTTTTCACATGTGTCCTGCATCTGCATAAAAACCCCATTTTCCCTTCCCCTGACTCATTTCATTTTAAACCTTACATCAATTTAGCTACCCCATGCTTCTGATGAGGTTGTGGTTTATGAAATGTTACATCTTTTAAAAAATTATTAATCTGAAAAGTTGCTACCAGGCCCCTTTTGATTTTTAATCTTCCTCTTGTTATTTTCCTTTTGGAAGAAAGAAGCAGTAATGCTAAGACCTGGAAAACCCAGTCATCAGATCTCCAAATCATTTCCAGATCTTCAAATCTTTCCAAAAATTTGAAATCACCCAAACAATCGAAAGAGCGGAATTGACCACATCTTGAACTGAAACATCCATTTGTTCAGCTCTGGTGCATCCCTAATTTGACTCAAGTTTCTGATCTGCCTAAGGGGTAAAAGAAGATAGCTGAATCAGTGATGATGACCAAAATGCAGAATAAAGGAACAGTTAAGGTTTGGGTTACACGTGGCAAGAAAATGAGACATAAAGATTCTGAAAAAAATAAATATAGATATTAGTGGAATTTTCAATTGTTCCTTTATCTCAGATTATTAACAATGAGTCTACTGGGAAAGTTAGTAAATCCTTCATCTCCTTTGCTGCATTTGACTTTTTCTTGAAGAGATTTTTTTCCAGAGAGTATTAAACCTGAGATTCTTGATACCTGCAGTATGAATTATTCTGTTTTATCATCTAAATACTGCCTTACTGCATATGAGAGCTAAACCTTAATATCTCCTAATTCCCCCCTTAATTCAGCAGAACAATCCCCATAGCTTTGTGTTTCAGGGAAATGAGCAGGAATTTTGCTAAGACAGTCTGATTTTGAGTTTCTGGAATGCATCAGTGAAATTTTAAACTGTAAACAGTGAAACTGCTGGAATCCCACATTTGGGCATTTTTGCTATTTTTTTCTGGGTCAAATTGTATAGGAGAAGGGATGGCAGAACCCGGAGGTGAAGTGAAAAGGGGAGTGAGCCTAGAATCCCTACATAGCCACAAGAGAACTAGTAACATTGACCCTTATGTAACTAGGCAGATGCTGACTGTTAGCTGAGAAAAGTTCTCTGCTTAGGCTTTCAGCAATAAATCAGTTTAATTGAACCTTCATGTGTGGACCTGGTCTTTCACACCTGACATATTGTTTCTCTTGCCATATTGTTCTCTCACTCCATTTGGGAAATAATGGACAAACACAAATGACATTAATCAAAACATCTTTAATATTCCATATAAATACAGAGATGTACACATGTATAAAGTGAATATTTGTTTCATTTGGACAGGAAAGACAAGGTTTAAACTATTTTCAGGAAGTATGTGACAGCATCCCAGCATCACCTGTCCTGAATTATTCTTCCTCCAAGCCTGCAGCCCAGAGAGGCTACTAGGCATAGATGTTTAATAATATACTGTACATTCCTTGCACTTAATTCCCTTCCCATCACATGCCTACAGTTGGAATTCTTGCAAATCAGCCTCTTTAAAGAGTATGAATTCAGCAGCAACCCCAGTAACTGGAAAAGAGACCTAATACATTGTGTAATTTGGACAGATTAAATCACAAAAGACACCTATTAACTAGGATCAATATGAAGAGGTAGACAAGCTTTCCCCAACCATGGGGCCTTCCAGGAATGTAGGACCATCAGTGCCACCATCTTTTCAACAAGAGGATTGGACATGCTAGCTGGGGATGATGCTGATGGTAGTCCAGCACATCTGAGTAGTATCAGACTGGCAGAAATAAAGACATTGTCACTTGTTCTAGTGACTATCTCAGTCCAACCAGTAAGGCAGAAAGATACTGAAAGAATGTCAATTGGTTTTTTTCCTTATTAAAATTCCGAAGTAGCTGGAAAGTAGGTAGAACATTGTTATTTATTTTTATTCATTTATTCTATATTTTGATTAAGGAAGGTTCTGAATGTGCAAAGATGAGTGAGTTTAAATGCAACTCATCTAGAAAACCAGTTCACTAATATGAAGGCATTTGGTGACTCGTGAAAAAGCTTTTAAAGAATTAGTGCAAAATGAATGCTTATTTTGAGTAATTGGCATGTGAATATGTGGCATAGTATATACTGTACTGCTTATTCTCACTAAGGCAAGATTCCCAATAATTCCGAGTCCGACACATAAATGTAGCCAATACTTACCTGGCATGAATATGATATGAGCATGTTTCATATTCTGATTCAGCATTCTCATTCAAGTTCTATTGAAGCATACTGCTACTTCTATTCATCAAATTTTAAATACTACTCTCGTTCATTTCTTTGCAAACTCTTTTAAAGGGTAATCCATGCCATTACTTGTCAAAAGTATGCTTCTTTGAAATAAAATTCCTGAGGTGGGGAACCATATTGTTGAAAAACATTCTATGTTAAAAAAGAAGGGCCATGTAAAATTCATGTTAATTTTAGAGTTATACATTTTACTAAGACAAAACACACCATGTTATGACTTAGTACAATGTGTCAACTCAGACACTGTAGTTTATAAAATATGGTTTATAGCTAAGAATGAATAAGCTACTATAGTTTAAGAAACTCCCCAAATGGACCAATGCTTAACAAATGTGAACCACTTCTTCATTATACTAAACAATGTTTCTATATTCTATTCTTCTATTTCTATAATTATGAGCTAAATAAAAGCAGATTCCTTAAATTAGCAAAACAGCACAAAATTATATATCTATCCTAGTTCCTAGTTCCTTTAATGCCAGTATTGGATGTCTGCTAGATCAACTATCAGCGTCTGGATCTGTGATTATCTCCTCATATTTTCCACCATGTGATTCTATCATCCTGAAGGTATTTAAACTCTCAGGTTTGATCTAATATGCAACACAAGATACAGTTAATCTGCTGAAAACTGGAAAGCTGGTGGGTGAAAAATCTGCTTGACCACATATATTTATTTAATTAATTAATTTATATCCCACTTTTATTATTTTTACAAATAACTCAAAGCTTCCTTCTATTTTCCCCACAACAATCCTGTGAGGTGGGTTGGGCTGAGATAGAGTGACTGGCCCAAGGTTACCCACCTGGCTTTCATGGCTAAGGTGAGACTTGAACTCACGGTCTCCCACTTTCTATCCTGATGACTTAACCCCTAGGCCAAACTGGCTTTTACTCTTTTTTTCCCCCTACTGTATCAGCTCTGTCTGCATGAATCTTCCCTAACTAAAGCCATGTTATTATTGGTGGATGACAGACTTATTCCATTGATCTGGTTCTCCAGAAGAGTTGAGATTGGCAGGAATGTTGCTATCCTGAAGCAAATAGCAAAAATGGAACAGATGTACAGGGAGGTTGTCTGCTGATTGAAGATCTTTTCAAATGTTGCTGGATCCATAATGTTACCAGAGGATAACTTAGGTTGGCTAATCAGCAGACACTAGATTAACAGGCTGGCTCATTTGTTATAGGAACGCTGGAAATGCTTTGACCATACAGGTAGTCCTCAACTTACGATCACAACTGAGCCCAAAATTTATGTTGCTAAGTGAGACATTTGTTAAGTGAGTTTTACAAAATTTCTTGCCACAGTTGTTTGTTAAGTGAATCATCGCAGTTAAGTTAGTAACACGGTTGTTAAGTGAATCTGGCTTCCCCATTGACTTTACTTGTCAGAAAATTGCAAAATTGCAAAAGTTGATCACATGAACCTGGAACGCTGCAACCGTCATAAATATGAACCAGTTGCCAAGTGTCTGAATTTTGATCATGTGACCATGGAGATGCTGCAATGATCGTAAAGTGTGAAAAGTGGTCATAAGTTGCTTTTTTCAATGCTGTTGTAACTTTGAACAATCACAAAATGAACTTTTGTAAGTCAAGGACTACCTGTATTCCTAATTTACAATAAAATCTCAGTGCAAATCAAACCATATTTAGTTTTTTCCTAGGAACATTCTTTTGGTGCTTGTAAGAAGGAATTCTTCTTCCACGGATTCTGCTCTTAAGAACTTCTGCATTGCAAACATGTGCAAAGGGTTTGTTTCTTCCTTCTCCAGTACAGTTTTTGAATGATAATAATACCAATGGATTTTTATAACATACAGTGTGAAATCAAACATCAGTGTCCAAGAACTATATAACTTACATAAGGCAGCTGACAGTGAACCCAAACACTTAACAAACAGTTCATCAGTGCAAGGCCTGTTATTCAGGTACCAACTGTTACACATCAGGAATAATTTACTGCTCCTTTTTCTGGGTCAAGCTGCAAATTCATTAGCTATATTTTGTTCTTTAGCTTTTAGTAGAGAGTACTTTGGGTTGTTCTTCCCTTCTTCTCCCAGGAATTGTCCCAGGAATTGTCAAAGGTTTTCACTTTCATCCTCTTTCATACATGAATTATTACAAATGCTATTACAATGAAATAATACAAATACTATCACAAATCTGATAAAGGAGTACTTCAAAACTGTAATTGGGTAGGGTCAGTAGGTGGTATTTCTGAATGCTTGTGTTTTTTTTCCAGTAGAATGAAAGAAAACACCGAATCCAAGAGCAGCTGCAGCTATCCGTTTAAGTTAGTCCTTGCAGTGTTCAGCCCATCATTTCTGACTGGATGTCCCTGTGCTGTATTTCCAGGACCAAAGCAATGTATGAAGTGGCATACCTGAGAGAGGGGCACACCTGAGTGGGTGCAAGAATTTATCAATCCTCAATTAGAGTAGGATTAAAAGTGAGTCTTCAATCTGAGGGAGATGAATAAAATGGTAGCATGCTGTTGTTTTGGCATCTGTTGGTGCCAGAGCAAATGGTCCAGAAAGCCCTCATATAAACTAGATATTTTAGCAGAGCAGAGTAAGGAAAGTACAACCTCCTGATCTTGACCACAGTGTTTCCATAGATGTGTCATACTACCTTCTGCACCCTAAATTATCTCCTTTCTCAGGCACTTTGGTTTACGATACATCATCCAGCCTACTAAGAGCAGAGTCATCACTAGAACAGAGCAGATGACCATGAAGCTGATAAAACCTGTGTGAGACAAGAGATGTGTGTAGGGCTGCTCTGAAGGGATCATGTTGGTAAGGTTTAGCATATAGCCCAGCGTCCATCCTGCATCACTCTTTTCAATCTGAAATGAAGGAGACAAGAATCACTCAATGAAATATCAAGCAACTCCGAGAAAAGTGGTGCAAACACTATATTTAAAAAAAAATATTTATTATTTATATTCCACCTTTATTATTTTTATAAACAACTCATATTATGAACATATCTAATACTCCTTCCTCCTCTTATTTTTCCAACCCTGTAAGGTAAGTTGAGCTGTGAGTGACTGGCCTAATGTCATCCAGTCAACTTTCATACCTAAGATGGAACTGGAACTCACAGTCTCCTGGTTTCGAGCCTGGAGCCTTAACCACTACACCAAATTGGCTCGCATGCAACTTTCTCCAACAATTCAGTGGCTAAGTTTGCATAATAAGTTTAATCGAGTCAGGTTTAGCAGCTGAATTCACACTATCTGCTAAGATCGATTGGTTTTAAGGTGGCTTGCTTTTCTGTGAAATTACATAAGGCCATAGCTGGCCCTTTTAGTTAGCTTATGATTCAACAGATTATGAACATTCAGAAAATTTTCAGAAAATTCAACAACCAAGATAACCATGCTGTATGAATCAATTCAAAGTGTTACTCCTGGTCTTCAAAGTTCTTAATGTTTTGTGCTCGTGATATTGCACTTCCTGTCATATTGATCTACCTGCTTCATAAAATACTAGACAGCATCCTCTGTATCCCACCTGAGTGAGACAGGGTGAGGGATAAGGCTTTTCAGTTGCTGCACCAACACTGCAGACTATCTTGCCCTATAAAATGTGAATAGCCTTACCTCTGGGTGTCTCTTGCAGATTTATGAAGACATTTGTATTGTGGCTTGCATTTGTCTTTGGTTTCTGCCATATATTAGTGTAAAAGATTTTTTAACCAACTGATACATTTTAGATTGTATTGTAGTTTTTGTGAGCTTCTAAAATAAATCTCCACCACCACTTCTTAATTTCTACCTCTGAATGTTAAAGATACCTTCTCCAGGAAGTGGATATTCTGCCATTTTTCCTTAGTGAAGTTGTATCTCTGGCTGAGCAGGGAGATAATATACGTACTCGAGAAACAATATTCACTCAGGTACTTCTCTTTTACCTTAGGAAATTCGTCTTTCACCTAGAGAGAGAAAAGGGAAACAAGTTTATTTCTTTGGTTTTTCTCCTCTTTTATAGAGACTGAGGTATTCTGTCTTCCACATAAATATTAATCCTTGGAGCTATCGCAATCCATTTGTGCGTTTTCAAATGAACATCCTTTTCACATGCCACGGGGACTCTACGTTTGTAGGGTAAGTGGGTTTTAGGGATTTATCTTTCCCGCTTTGATTTTTGAGTTGGAGAATCAAGCAGAACTAATCTCACACAATTAGCACTAATTGGAGGCTATTCGCTGTCTGAATCAAGATCATGCTCTTTTTGTTTGAAAAAATGACATACCTCATTCCAGGATTTGGAGCAAAAGTTCTTCAGTGTCTCTATCACTTGGTCCATAGGTTTTTCGGTCACATTTAGAAAATTCATTACATAGTAGAAAGCAGAAAATGCCTGAAGATCAAGTAATATGAAATTATTCAGGAAAGAAAAAGAGACTCGTGTTTTTTTTATAGTTGTATTTTTGTAAGCCTCTCAGAATCTTAATAAATTGGGGTACCCTACAAATTTTATAAATTAATGGAAATAAAATGCTGCTATCAGCAATATTTAGCATAAAGGTAATGTTTTCTGAACAAATACAGATATATTGTTCAAATTATCGATCTAGTCCACAACTGTCTGTACTCAATGATTGGTTGGAAACTGCACATAATGTAACTGGGTGAACAAAACACAATTGCTACATTGACATAACATGTTATGTCCAAATAAATAAACCATATTATGATAGACGAGAACCTGATGTACATAAGAAATAAGATACTGGACCATGAACTATCCAACTTTATTTTAGCCAATTATTCTGAATTACATCAGTTTCCAGGACTTGAGCCACATCACTGCTATTTGTCCTTTTTACTAGAAATGACAGACAATGAATGTGAGACTTTCCACCTGCAAAGTGGCAGTAACTTTACCCCTAAGCTATGCTTTTTCTATTCATGGCTGGGAGCTCCAATACTACATGTAAGAAGAACAACTCAGGGGCTTCTTCTATTGCTTCATGTCAACAAGTACACATATAACTTTATTTGCAAATAGAAATCACTTGTTAACAATAGAAAATGGAGCAGCTACTTCATGAAAGAGAGCACAGCGATAGATCATCTGCCACTTCTAAAGCTCTTCTGGCTCATGCTGAACAGGGCAAAAGCTGAGAAAGGAGCTCTACCAAGTTTCCAGCTCTTTATTTTGGGGAACTCAAATCAAGTATGCCATCTATAGACTCTTGAGGGAACCCCCCCCCTTTCTGAATTTGTTTTGGATGTTTTCTGCCAGTGGAAATGCTATAGCGCTACATCTACAACTGCCAGGTTCTGCACAGTATCTGTTAAAGTAATGTTTATGGAAATGTAGTCATTACTTTAAAATTGTGCCTTTGTATCAATGTGTCTCTGGAAAAAAGAGTTGGTAAGTTTTGCTTTATAACATTTCCCTTAAACCAATGTTTCTCAGCTTTGGCAACTTGAAGAAGTGTGGTTCAACTTCCAGAATTTCCCAACCAGTCTGGGAGTTGAAGTCCACATATCTTCAAGTCGCCAAAACTGAGCAACACTGCCTTAAATAAACAGGAAGCTGGTTAAATACATGGTTGCATATGGGGAATATCAAGCAGGAGCAAATAACAATATTTGTGTAATGATGCCATCGCACAAATGCCATGATTCAGCCTTTATGATAGTGGTATGTAATCATCATGCAGTCAGCATGCGCCTGTGGTCTTTTTTACACCCTTGATTTGTTACAGATTGCCCTTAAAGTCAGTAATTTGATTACACTGATTTTTTTTAGTGCTTCTGTTTTTGCAGTTCCAACCTGGCGGAAGACTACTACTGAAGATAATAGGGCGGATTCTTTTAAAACAAGAAAGAGCATCACAGATATCTTTTAGTTCATTGCCAAGCTGTCAATGTATTAAAAAGACTCACCCCAAATTCTCCAGACACCTCAGGCAAGAAAATGCCATTGAATGAGCAGCTGGAGTAAAGACAGTCTTTAGTCTTAAAGATTCTCTGGATGCTTTCTAAGCATTTTTCATAATTCCCATCACCTTGGATTTGGATCTGAGAATACGGTACAGTGACGTTACGTGCTGTGCAGGGATTTGTGGTCAGATCAAAAACATTAAGTGTCCTCGCATATCCTTGGTGGAAACATGGGTCCTGGAGTCTATCAGTTGTTGAAGACTAAAAAAGTTTAAAAATTCATTAGCAATCACAGTCCCAGTACATTCACTTATCACATTACACACCATCCACCATGGCTTACAATCCACAATGATTGGATTGAAAAAAATCATACTAAGCCAAAACTAAATAAACCCAAGTATGTAGATGTAACATTATGCATGCTTCAGTCATAGACCTGGACAGGGGAACAGTGAGGCCTAGGTCAGAAAATAAATGCCTGTCTTGAATCTACATTTGTACCCTTGAATCCTTACATATTTTATATAAGTATTCAATTTTTTTTAAAATTAACAAACATACGCAATAATGAAACGAAGGAAATACTTTAGGAAGAAAAATTATAACAATCCTCTATGTACATACTTTCCTATGCAGTGCTCCTACAATGTGTGTTTGTTTGTGTATTTAATTATCAAATTTGCTACCCAGCTCATGTTTTAGATGAATCTAAGTGGATTGCATGAACAATGAAGAAATTGACCCTCAAGATTTAATATAATATTAGACTGAGATGAAGGCATAAACTGTTAATCTAAGAATAAGTATCTCAAAGTCAAAGTTCTTCTATGCCTTTTTCTTTAAATTCAAATTACTATTGAGCTGAGACAAGTAATAAAAGTAAACAGGGGCATAAGATATGTTCAATTCATTTTGGTCCAGTCCTCTGAATCTTGATTCTGTAGGATGTATTCCCATCCTTATATACTCTCCATATGTAATACATTGACTGGGATGATGGAAATTGAAGATCAACAGAGCTAGATAGCATCAGACAAGGAAAAGCTGCTTAATGGTATAATATGGTTATGGTATTACTAAAAAGGTATGAGAATAATTAGCAGCAGAAATTGCTATCCAGTTTTTTTTTCCAGTTCACAAAATAACTAGTGTTCTGCAGGAATATTGTCTGACTCATGCTTTTATCTTACAATCCCAATTATTGTATACAACACAATATGCACTGGTATGTTCTATTTCACAGTTTGAGAGAAGGAAAGGGTAAAGTAATTAAAGCACAGCCATATCTTGCTAGCTTCAGCTAGTTAGAAGGTAAGATATTTGCAGAGAGGCTCAAGAGGGAGCAAATGACAAAAGCAGATTTATATTGTGACACAAACTCTGCTCCATATGTAGCACATCCCACAAATATCGAGTCTGTATCACAAGGATGTATTTTCATTGGATCCTATCCTGTGGATACCTCTAATGTAGCAGTCCCCAACCACTGGGGCACAGCCCACTACTGGGCAGGGGTCTATTTGGAACTGGCCCACCACTCACCCGGTTCCCCTCCCCCCTGGCTACAAATATTGGGGATTACTGCTCTAGTGGGAAGGAATACAACTGTAATTGCATTGCAGGCAGTCCTCGACCACTCATTTAGAGGCTGTTCAAAGTTATAGTGATATTGAAAAAAGTGGCTTACAGCTGGTCCTTGCACTTGTGACTGTTGCAGCATTCACACAGTTACCTGACCAAAATTCAGATATTTGGCAACAGGTATGAATTTATGATGGTTGCAGTGTCCTGGGCACATGTGATCACTATTTGTGACCTTCTCAGCCAGCTTCTGACAAGTAAAGTCAATGGGGCAAGCAAAATTCATTGCAGATAGCAAAAAGGTTGTAAAGTAGGATGCAACTCTTTTAACAACCACCTTGCTTAGGAAATTCTGGTTCCAAACGCAGTTGTTAAGTCGAGGACTACCTGTATTAAAGGGAGCAAACTAATGCATAGGCAGGCTGTATCAGTTTCATTACACACCATCTAAGAAAATGATTGATACCCATTACTTACAAGAACATCTTGTAACAGCTTGAGGCGGAGAGCTTGGTCCTTCCCGTAACATAAGAAGCTATGTGTATATACCATGTATTCCTTGCCATAGAGATGGAAATTTACTATATCTGCAGATGATTCAATCTTATCTGGATCTGGTACAAAGGTAATCTGTGTAGATGCTCCTCCAAGATCCAGTGCTCCTGTTGTCCTACTTTTGAAGAATGTATGTCCAAATACTCTTGGCCAGATAGACTGCAAGAAGAACAAACTGGAGAGTTAGACTGAGAGATATAACAGCCAGACCTACAGGACTACAACAGGACATAAGACCTCAGCAATATCACACAGTCATAACCTCTTCTCTATTTTCCCAGAATGAAGAATTTAGAATAAAGACCTCACATTTTAGGAAGGCAAATTCCAATGGAATATTATGAAAACTTTGTAAGGGTAAGTAGACTGGAACAAAATAGAAAATTCTAGGCACCCATTTGCTGTATCAGTTGAAGCTGAAGTAAGAGTCCTCTAACAATCATGTTGTAATATGGGATTAGGGTCAGTATCCCCTTCCAATCCTATCATAATCCTGTGGAATTTGTTAGATTATATTCCATTTTAATGTTTGATAATCTCTTACAGCTCTGAATAGAATTGAAGAAAAGAAGGACTGTTAGAAAACCAAAGCAAGTGAGAATTCCTGGTCATCACTTGCTTTTCTGACATGTCACATTACCTCTGTGAATTTGCCCAGCAAGTAATTAAGGGTGATCCAGCCATAAGCACCTTCTTCTTCACCACTGAGAATCCTGGTGCCCTGGAACTTGAAGGGATATATACGCAATGTTTCCTCCACTGCAGAGAGAACCTTCCTAGCAGCATCCTTATTTTTCAATCTGCGTGTAAAAAGAGGGGGAAATTATATAGAATACCTTAGGAACAGTTCTCATATTTTATTTTATTTTTCTTGAAAAGGCATTCTGGACAATGGTGAGATAATAAGATACTTAGTGTCCAAAATGAATTTTTAGAAGATGGGAGAAGGAGAAAGACTCATCTGGTCTATTGTCCCATTAAACCCTTCAGCCTTTCCCTGATTACCTTCATATGGTATTCTTAAAATAACATAACATCGAAAAGAACTTACAAGCGATTCTCTGTTTTCTGAATATGAGCTATAGGTAGGAGTCACCCCAAAAGGTTGTCTCCAAGGCCTTTATTGACTATGGCAACACTGGCATAGAAAGAAGGCAGGTGACCTGCGGAACAGGTGCCACAAACAATGGCACACCCTAATTTAGCAGTGGCTTATGGCAGAATTCTAGATATCACAATTTAAATATGAGAGATGCCTTCTATTCCCACCCTCACTGACTTTTGTTAGCTAAGAATTCTAATCCACAAAACCAATAAAGCTGAAAGAACAGGGAAATAGGAATGCACGCAAAATTTTTGTTGCACCAGATCCAGAAATATGTGCTAAACTGAACTACAGTGAAATACATTCACATGTAACCAAATACACAAATAGCAGGCTTGCAAAATACAAGCATCTCATGGAAACTGATGAAAAATTCCTATCACGTCCAATCCAAATAAACTTTAAAAGCCTGTTTTCTCTGAGCTCATCCCTACAAAACATAAAAAAGTGCAGCTGCTTTTCCTAGGGTACCTCAGCAGCCGCATGCCAGCTGTTGCCCCTAGGTAAACAGGCGTCTCCTGATGCTTTCCCTGTGGCACAATCTCCTTTGCTGAATCCATACAGTGCTTTAGGGGGACACTGGCATTTTCCACAGCATTAGAATATGATGAGATCCCTGGACCTGAAAGAAGAAAAGCAGAATACTTTTCCCTAACTAATCCATTTTTTTTTTCAAAATAAAAGCTGAATCAGTCAATTTCTTCCATAGTTGCATCTATAGTTGGTGCATACCTTTGTATGAACATTATTGGCATTAATCTGGTATCCATTATTTTTAATAGAGACAATCTTGTTAATTGCTCAGTGAGGCACATACTGTGTGAGGTCCTTTTTTGGGGTCCTCTCCTTTTTTGTATGGGTGTGTTTTTAGAACAGGCCTGTTATTTAATTCGATTTTAGAACAGAAACTATTTATTTATTATCGTGGTTTTTAGTATCGCCTGTTCACCGCCCTGAGTCCCGTAAGGGAGATAGGGCGGTATATAAATTTAATAAATAAAAATAAAATAAAAAAATACATATGGTCTTGAGCGGTATATCATATATTCTGATTTAAAGTGGTCCATTTCAGTCCACTTATTCCAAAAACATACAGCTTATAATGTTCCATTCCTTTTTGACATCAGATTTTTCCTGGTTAAAATTTTTAACATTCTGTGCTCCAGCTAAATATGTCCTTATACTGTACAATAAGAAACTCCTCTTTCAATAGTCCTGTCTAATAGAGGCATATACATGAGAGGGGGGGAGGGGAAGGGAGAGAGTACAGTCAAAAGTTTTTGTGAAAATAATGAAAGCAGTATTGCAGTATGAACTTTACCCCTTTCATGTGTGTGTGCAGCATTATCATACAAGCACAAAAGGATGGAGCTTGCCCTTTGGCAGTGCAATGTTGCTTTTGTCATCTGTCCTTCTTGTCTGCACTCCCTCCCTCCCCTACCCTCATGCCCTCTCAGACTTCCTGGTGGTTTTGATCTGGTAACACGATCATCTTCCGATCTACTTGTGAAGAGTTTGGTGCTCTTACCTATGGTTCCTTAGTAACTACAGTATTGGAGTACCTTCCAATCTCCTAACTCATCATCTGGCACTAAACAAGTCCAAACATTTCACTTACATCTTAAAATTATCTTGACAACTGTCAAGGTTGACAGAGAGCCTGGCTGTAAATCTTAACACCATTCACTTAATCCTTATTTATGTCTTGGCCCACTTGGCAAAAGGCTCACAGACATGACTCAGAAAGGTTGGTCTCTTTAGCGCAGACATGAGTGAAGTCATATAAATACATAATATTATTCCACTGCAGTATCCAGAAATCAAAGCCCTGATACAGAACTTTACTCAAAGGTTTTAATTCTAGGGTTTTCTATTGCATTTTTACACCCTACCTTTGATACCTGATCCATGTTGCTATAAACCAGTGTTTCTCAACCTTGACAATTTTAAGGCATGTGGACTTCAACTCCCAGAATTCCACAGCCAGCAATGCTGGCTGTGGAATTCTGGGAGTTGAAGTCCACATGCCTTAAAATTGTCAAGGTTGAGAAACACTGCTATAAACAGTTTCTTTGAATCTGGGAACAGTTCTGGCTTCCCCAACCTTATTCCTTACTCCAGTAAGTAGAAATGGTTTTTCACTGCCATCTTTTATGTATTGGAATTTCTCCTCCTAGGTGGATTGGTTTCCCTCATGCTTGCAAAGCCCCATTACCCTCACCTCTGTTTATGGATTACTTTTAGCTTTATGTGTTGTTACTGATAAAGTTGACCCCATTACAAAGTCTTACCCCAGCTGGCATTATTATCAGGTATACTAAAGATATCAAGCCCTCCCACTAAATCAAGATGGTAATTCCTAGACAGGATAACCATGATCAGCTCAGACTAAGAATAGCCAGTATCTACTGTACATGCCAGACTCAAGTTAATTGAAAATAGCAATAAGTTACAGTGTTGCTGGGCTGCACAGCAGCACTTAAAATCCATCAGATGAAATTTACATTATTAGTTTAGAGTGTTTTGCATTATGATAGATTGAATTAGCCATATATTAACTTTTATGTTTTTTGTATTTATCTAGTGTTTTGACACATCCCTATAGATTTTTTAAAACTGTGTACACAAACATACATACATTAGCTTTTTTAAATGCATTTTTATGTTTTTTATTTTATGTAATTTTTGTTTTACTTTTTAGGTTTTTTAAAATTATTGTTGTATCCCACCCTTAAGTTGGTCTATGATCATAGCAACAATTTGATGGACCCATAAGTTTGTGTAGGAGTATAAATTACATCCTTTGACACAGTTTAGGATTCACTGCAAGGAACACAAATTATAATTTTTATGTGGTGTTTTTCAGCAGTGAAAGTTTGTTCAGGCTTACAATGAGCAAGTGCTTTTTCCTTCCCTTTTCTTATCTCACACATACACTACTCCCATTAAATTGCTTAAATTCAGCATTTTATAGTTATTTTAACTTTAAAATTGTATTGAAGAACTAAAAAAAATAGGGTGAGTCCTTCCTAAATTTCTTTCTCTGTTAAGCCCTTGGGAGCTCCTGCCTCTCTTGTCTGATTATTCCTGGGCAGCCTCTTTTTTCCTCATTCACACAGTCCATCACACTCCATGGAGATGGTTAATTTATTACAAAAAGTCTGTCAAGGTTCCAATAGACAAGACCAAATAAATCAGAACTCCGAGGCTTGAGATTTCCTCAAAGAACATGTTTATTGGTTACATAGTATCTGCCCAGTCAAAAGAGAAACCAAGTCTAAAGTTCTCTTCAAAGAGAAACAATATTACAAAGTTGAACTCCCCACCCCAGTGCTATGCAATTAGCTACATTCCCCACTAGAAGAATTTGGCGGGCTTTCTAACTAAATGCTCACACCCCCACCTAACTAACAGAAATGACCTTGGTTCCCACGGAACATGTAAAATGTTTAGACTAGTAGAAATCCTCTGCACTCCCTCCCGTTCTTGTGGCAACCCAGAATGAGCAAAAAATGGCTGCAGTCAAGTCAATTTTCCAATTTCTTACCTTCTACTTCACATACGTGAATCTGATGCACTATTCCTGTATTATTCTCTTTCTCAGCTGGCCATTCATATACATACACACTTGTGTGGGAAGAACCGGCATCCAACACAATCCCATACTGCAGGAGAGACAAACTCACAAATTTGCTTTTTAAATTTCAGGGTACTGTACTGAAAGAAGATGATAAAATGTATCTTTGCGAACAGTGTCATGTAGTGGAGTTCTCTTACAAACAGAATCACATTTATATTATTGAACCCAACCCTGTACTCTGGGCAATTTTTCCTGACAAATGACCATACAGCCTTAGTGAGAAGACCTTCAGTGTAGAAGAGTTCACCATCCAACTTGGTAACTAGTTCCACCATTACATTATACTTACGGTACTAGCAGATTTTATATACCATAAGGTTTCTGTGGAAAATGTTAGAATAAAAGGAAATGTAAGGTGGTACTATTAAGGAAGCTTAAAGCCTAAGACTGTTACTTGTGTATAGGGGATAAGATATATTGAGAGCATTCTTTGTATTGTGGGCAATCCTTCCGGGATTCTATTGGAAGAGAAAGGGAGATATTACTGTTGCCTGGAGCCTCCAACAAAAAGAAGCACGCGATAGTGAATGCATTAATACACATCTGATTTTAGTCTTCATGTGGGCTCTGCATTTGTGTCTAATAGGATTAGAAGCACAACAGTTCAGCAGGTAAGTACTTACTTTACAGTTCCTGGTGGAAGATAAATTCTGTGTGATAGCCACAGTGATTAAAGTAATAAGAGCCACCAGCAAGAATAATCCAATAACAATGTATTTCAGGTGAGAATATTTTCTCAGCATGATACCTGCAATTACAACAAAGGAAAAAAACAAGATTAGAAGCAATACAATACAAAATGTCGCAACATATCCCACACAGGAACATCATTTCCACAGATATTTTTTATTATTAACTCTCAATTTAGAGTCAAGTCTAATTGGGCTCTGCTATAGAAAAGATGAGAGGGTCTAATTGTTTGTCAAACAATTTTCAGATATGTGGACTTTGACTCTCAGAATTCCTCAGCCAGCATTCTGGGAAATTCTGGGAGTTGAAGTATACACATCTGAAAGTTGCCAAGGTTGGAAAATACTGGTCAAAAGCAATTCCATTGTTTCTGAAGTCTAGCACTACTGGCATTTACTGTCACTCACCACTTAATAGAGGGAAGATCACAGCCCAGCTGCACAATCCCCTCTGCCTCTGCTTTATTTTGGGTTTCTGCATATCTATTCCGGGATCAATGCAGCTGGAGATCTAAAATTCCAAAACAAATTATTTCTGGCCTTTTTCCTGGCTCAGACTTCACTATATTGTTGCCAGCAGTTTGAAATGATTGGAATTTTGTCAAAATATCATTTAGGGACTGATGTTTATTTCATGAATACAATGTTTTTGAGCCATATTTAGACATTTGTTACTTTCATGAAGTTGCCAGTTTTACTATTCCCAGGTTAATTTCTTGTTAATATACTCCATGCAAATTTGAATCTTTTTAGAAGCTCTAGCTTAAAAGTAGGAAAAAATATTTCCCTTTCCCACTTTATGCCAACTTCTTTGACATCACTAAGGCTCAAAATATCAGAGTTCAAGATCTTGTACAATAGAATATAACAAGTGCATTTATGTTAGAAATTCTACTAAAATGAGAGAGATAAGAAAATTCAGACTCCCAGGTTTTGGGTTAGAGATCAAACAATATTAATGTTCCAAAGTTAATGTAGAAATATACTGTAATGACAATTGCCACCTAATGGACCTTTTAAAATCAGGAATGAAATACTATTTAATCATGGTTAATAAATTTAGAAATCCAGTGAGAAAAGTATTATGGTTTGGCCTTCTTGGCTTAGATGGGGAATTTTAAATCTTCCATCTACTTCCATTGAATCTCATCAGTAGGTAAGAAAAAACACTTTGGTTTATAGGATATTAACAAATATTTTGCTAGAGTAAATAATTCCCTGGAATTTGCTTTATCTAATTGTAATTAACTAATTGTTTTAAGAATATGAAATGTTTCTGCTATTTTTAAAATTAACTAATTAATACATACAGTTCAAGAAATAAAGTTGCCCATGTTTTCCTTCCAATGCTGCTGTTTTTCCAAGCCTCTTTATCCTAAGCAGTGTGGCATATTATAAGCTTATTTAACTTCTTTAACTGAGATAATATTTTATGATTTGGGCTGGCTATGACTGATTATGGCCTTACTTAGTACCACTGGCATTCATATTTTATCTCTACTGTAAAATACTTGTTTCCTCTGCCCCTTACTGCAAACAACTTATATATACAATTTTTAAGTTTATATGGGTATATGATTTTTAATTTATTGTTGTGGTTGGTTGCACAATCAGCCAGATGTTTGAACTGGATTTGGCATTTTTACTGAGTCTTTCCTAAGGAGACCAGGGATAGGCAGATGTTGTTATTTGATGGCGTTAAAGGTATTATTATAGAATGTAAGCTGTTGCAAGGAAAGGTTCTTTTGCAATTGACTGATGATGTTTTTGTCAGTGCTGATGGTGTTCCAGATGTTTTGGGAGTGTACCCAATGCACCTATCATTATTGGTACTATCTTTGCTTTCTTTTGCCACAATTGTTCTATTTCTATTTGCAAGTCTTTGTATTTTGTGATAGGAAGAGGAGGAGGGGATGGGATAATCCCAGAAAAGATCTAACAAGTTTTCTATCAGGTATAGTAATTGCTTTAAAGCTGAAATTCTACATCCAACACCCAAAGACTAACTTTCTGTAGGACTTTATTCAGTGCTATAAATTAATGTACAGGATTGCTTACTTAATGTTTAAGGGGGGAAAGCATGTATAATTTGGTACAATATATATTATTTATTGCTGTTACTCTTTTAATGTTGCTTTTTATTATTTTATGTGTGACTGTGCTCTTTAAAAAAAGATCTAGTTTATCTATTGTTGCTCTGCCTCTTCACCTTTAGTTGCCAGCAAATTTTGTTTGCCACCAGTCTACCAAGAGCCCTTAAAATGATGGACACCAAAGTGCCTATCAGAATTACCAGCCTACATAGAAAGGAGTACTGTACAGCAGGGGTCCCCAATCCCTGGGCCGCAGCTCACTATCGGACCTTGAACCTTTGGAACCTGGCCGGTGGCATGTGCATGTGTGCAGGCGCATCCCAACTCACGTGAGTGAGCCGTGCACATGTGCTCCATTTGCAGAAGCGGTGGGCACACGGGCACACTGTTCGTGCAAATGGAACTGCATGCACACACTTGCCCACCTTGTGTGGAACCATTCCCTCTCCCCCCTCCCCACTGCCGGTTTGCAAAGCTGAAAAATTGGGGGATTCTGATGTACAGTAAATGCTTTAATTCAATGGCCCTTACCAATTTGGTGGAAGACTGAACTACTGAAACAATGAAATGATGGAAACTATCCCTCTCTTTGCCAAAGAGAGCTGAAAGGAATCTGAAAATTGGCAGCTATTGCCTGTTGAATAGATGAAAGAAAGATAAGAAAAATTTAAATGCCATTCTTCTCTGAGTTCCTTTCTGACTTAGAAAAATATTCCCCTTGGAGAAGAGTAATGGAAGAATCCTAGAGATGACTCACCCATTCCTGATGCAATTCTGTGATTGGCTGATGATTTTCACATTGGCTGATGTGAAGAATAGAAATATCTGTAAAGCCCCCAATCAATTTGCTTATCAGATGCTGCATGTGCAAAATCAGGTCAATAGCATTCAGTAGTGTGTTATAGCTGATGCACTAGAGACAAGAGTGAGATCAACAATGGCAGTAAATTTCATGTCAGTATAGTTTATATTCATAGCTCTACAGTTTCTAGTAATTAAAGTCAAAGAGCACAATAATAAAATGGGACTAAGATTAAAAATAAATAAGATCAATTTATGACAATAGTTACAGCAACCAGACTTAGAATTGACAATGAAGATATTGAAGACAGCTTCTGCCTTTTAGGAACCAGCAATCAAGAAATGCACCACAGAATAGCTCTTGCTAAAGTTGCCATTAAGCTCTTGGAAGTTATTCAGATACTGGGTATCTATATCTGCAAAGATCAGAATGCTGCAGGCAGTTGAAGAAAATTGAGTTTTCTCCATAACACTCTTGGAAGCAAAAGCTGAACATTGTAGAAGCAGAGTATCGACTCAGAATATTGACTCAGAATTTTCAGTTGAGGCATAAAATGCCCACGCTTAAATATTGTATCTTGAACACAATATGTCAAAAACTGGCTCTCTGAAAATCTTTAGTAAAAAGCAAAGATTAATATGATCTAAAGAGAAATCAGAATATGGTTAATAATAGTTCAACCACACAACACAACACAATAGTTTTGTGTTGTTCAGTTATTGATTGTATTTTTATTGGTCAGTCACCAAAATACTGTAAAGTTCTGTTCTGCTCTGTTGTAGCTCTTGGGAGAAATCTGTAATGATGAGAAAGGATGAAAGGAAGAAAGATTTAGCAACAAAGTGGATGGACTCAATTATAGCAATTACAAGCAGGGACAGATGCACTACTGGATAATCTGAAGGCCAGTTTGAGAACAGATCATCCTAGGAAAAAAATCTATCAATATGGTCACTAAGAGTTGAATATTACTCATATCAGTTCAACAAGCTTTCAAAGTGTAAAAGTGCTTTCAAAGTGTAAAAAGATTCTTATAGTTTTAGAATTAAAATGCAGGAGATCAGCATCACACACAAATACTGGAGATATAAATTGTGGAAATGCTGCTAGAAAAATTTTACAATGAGAGTATTCAGTCCTGCTTTTAAAAGCAATTTTGGGAATGCCTGTTTGTTTTTATTAGAGATTCTGTTGCATGCATTTGTAGAAAATGTTAAGTATTTTAAAATTTATTAAAAATACAGAGGATACAACTATCTCTTTGAAGATCATCTGATGTTTTAAGATATTGTCATAATGTTGAATCCCAATTGCAAATGTTTAGGACTGCTAGCCCATGATCCCACTAGAGTATTAATGCATTGACTTCTTTTTCTCTGTGATGCTAAAGCCCTCCCCACCCCCACTATTTTTTGACAGAGTATGAAACAATTTGCTTTGGATTACATAAAAACTTTCATTTTGTTTTTACTTTTCAGGGGCTGGACCCATGTAGGAAAATGATGTCTGAAAGGTCAAATGTAAAATGAATAAAATATTCATTTTCTTGCTGTCCTGGAAAGCCATAAGTGTCAAATTTTAACTATATGAAGAGCAGGTCTTATTGATAAAGAATTCAGAAATAGTCTCTTGTTGATTTTCCATTTAAGAGTGTGAAAGATCTGTCATTTTAAGCTGTGTGAAGGAATAACCAGGAGCTGAACCATACATATACCCTTTCTCAGAAGAGTTCACACAGCCCGGAAATGAGCACACAGAAGCTTTGTGTTTACCAAGGAACTCCAGCTTTTATTTGTGTTGGCAGTAAGTTGATGGCTTATTTCTGGCAAAATGTCATCCGGGGGGTTACAGACAGGAATTCTTTGTGAGCCAGGGTAACTAAGCCCGACAATGCGCCCATTCACCACATCAACACCAAGCACATTCCTTCCATCTGGAGACACTCCCACTGTGTTAGGGCAAATAGTGACTTCCAGATGCATCATTTAAGTCATTCTTACACAAAACACAATGCTAGCAGCTTTGGAATAGCCTTTAGAGATTCTGGCTCTTTCAAAACTTTCTGTCTTCTCTGTTTTGTGAAATAAGTAATCCACTTATGAAAATCAAGTGGTTAACCCGTGTAACATAAATCCATTAAATTCACCACTACTACTGGTAAGTGGTGCTAATTGCTGTTTAATGTGGTCTGTTGTTTATGATTTTGTCCAACCTACAAACCATCCCATCTATTTATTCTTTATAACATGTAATATATTTACAATAACGAAATATATAAACTACAAATATTCTCTTTTATTAAACTACTTATAGCCCTTACTCCACTTGTTTTAGTAGAAGCTCTTATTGTCCAGCTAATTCCTGGTTTCCATTTCTAGGTTCTAGAACTGAAACTGGCATGTCAGTAACCAAGATTCTCAGTCCAGGCACAACTGTATGTGAACATATCTCAGTTGCACTTCCCTCCCATGACCTTGAGGAAAGACACTGATTTGGAAAGACGAGACGAAAAAGACCAAGGATTTAAACTAGTACAAAGAATAGCATATATAAAGGTCTAAACTGCTGTTGACTGCAGATATACAGACAACTTCTTCCTTCTCTGCAATAAATGCTATAAAATAGATCAACCACTTTAAAATAAAATGTATCTAGCTATGCTGAATCTTTGAAGGTATTTCTGTTACTGAATGCAAAGTGGAATTTTTAGATAACAGATATTTGCATAAAGTCTTGGTAGCAAGATTTATCTACTCCTATTTCCAACATTGCAGGAGATGAACTTACACTCTGACTCTGAGGTTTAAAAAAGGCGACAGATATTCTTGCAACCTTGTTGGCTATGGTTTATGGTTTATATCACCAAAACTTTGTTCCAATATCAAAATCAAATTTTGATTCAAATGGATCAGTTAGCCTAGAAATGAAGTAGCTAATTCAGCAAGAGTAGAAGAATCTTCCGTATCTACCCCAGTCCAGGATCTGACAAAAACTGCTGTTGCAGCAACAGTCTTCCTATGCCTAGCACCTGCCTCTTTGCCTGATTAGAATCCTGGCAAATTTACTATGTATCTCACTCAATATGAATAATTCATCTCCCTTAAGACTGAAGACGATCATATACAGTAAGATTTATAATCAGCCCAAAAACAGAAAGACCATTTTGTTTTTCCTTATCCATTAACACTATTATATATCCCACAGAATAGATACACAGCTTTGGTTTGACCTTTCACTCCACCTCTCTCTCTCTTCTGTTCTATGACACGTCTCCCTTGAAAGCATTACAAAAACTTGTCTCTCCCCTCTTGGAGAAAGTTCCATTCTATATCCAGAAAATCTCTCTCCTAAACAGATTATTGATTTTTTTTTTTCATCTAATCCAGTGGTAGTCAACCTGTCCCTACCGCCCACTAGTGGGCGTTCCAGCTTTCATGGTGGACGGTAGGGGTTTTGTCCGATACTGAAGCACTTTCCTTTTTTTTAATTTAATTGACTTTTTTAAAAAAAATTCATAGCATTATTTAAAAACATTTTCATTAGGTTTTCATAAAATTCCCCGTGACAATTTAAATTTATGAAAATATACTATTTGTATCACCCGCGCATAAGTTTAGTTCACGTTATGTAAATGAAACTAAATGGCGCTATAGTGCGACTGCAAGCAAAAGAGCCTTGTCTCAGAATAGCTCGCGCATCTCCCCCCACACCACACAGCTGTAACAGACAAGCAGAGCTGGTAGTCCGTGCCCCCCTCAAACCCAATCCACGATGCGCGAGAGGCACGCGCAGACGATACACGGCGCAGGCTCTTTTGTTTGCGGTCGCACTGGTCAGTACGCAGTTAGATTTGTGAGAGTGAGCACATGCCTACAGCTTCAAACAAAATATTGTGAGTCCATGTCTCAAAAAAAGAAATACGCTCGTGGCTATTTGCCAGAGTATCTGAAGATGGGTTTCATAGAATCTGTTGTAAATAAACAACATCCAATGTGTTTATTGTGTCATAAAACATTATCCAATGAG